GGGGGGTGTTCTTTAATGAAGGTGTTTGCTAAGAGCTGGAAGTGTGTGAGGGGAGTGTGGAAGGGAGCAGGAACGTGGCCCCTCTCTGGGTGGAGTTTTCAGCCTGCGAGCAGAGGGCGAGTCCGTAGCGCATCTTGGGCTCCACTATTCTGTAATAAAATCTCTGCAAACCCAAACACAGCCTTTGCGGGTAGACTTGATCCTTGGAACTGTTTAATTTTGTTTTTTAGGGATCCTGGTACAGGTCTTCAGAAATACTGAAGTGCCTTAAGCGGGACTTTGGGGACAGTTAGGTAGCAGAGCCCCAAACCCAAATTGAAATTTAGAATAACTAATTTTCTGAGCACTTCAGTTTTTTGCCCGTAAATTATTGTAGATGATGGAAATTCCGTGGTTGTGCCTGCCAAAATCTGCTTCCCTGGGTGAGCGCTTTGGCAGTATCTTAGTCCAAAGAACTCCAGAAATCCACAGGGTAGGTGTTCATTCGTCAGAGTTGAGAGAAACAAGTAGAAAAAAAAACCATAATCTAGTTTGGTTTTTTCTTTTTAATTCTAGGCTAGTATGTAAAAGGTGAGCACCACCGTTTTTCTCTTCCTAAAAGTGATGAACGCCTCAGTCTTGGAGGGGATTTAATCCCATTCTTTTGAATCCCTGCTTGTGGCCTTCAGCTAGGTATCTTAGTCCTGAAAAGAAACACGGCTTCAGAAACTGCATTGTTTGGCATTTCTTCACGAGTTAGTTACAGTGCTTCTCTTTGCTGTGATTCATCCTGCACAGAGATGCCCAGTTCTCCCCAGATGCTGCTGTACAGAGAACAAAATGTTTAATGTGAGTTACCAGTTCTTTTGTGGGGCTGGGTGCTGAAGTTACGTGTGATGATGCTTCAGGTCATCATATCTGAGTCTTTTAGGATGTTGGCCCGCTGTCCTTTCCGCTCAGGTGCAGGCTGTATTCTTTCTAAGCAGCAATTCACTTTTTCTTTAAAAAAATACCATAGGTGGTTTCTCAAACCACTGTGAGCTGGCCTTTCTGTGGTGCTGGGGCTGGATTTGGCCTGTCCTACAAAGGCAAAATTGTTTTTAAGATGATGCTAACTCATCTTCTGTTCTGTTTGCTCTGAACCCCAGATCACTGTTTATTTCCTTTCTTTCCTCTTTTGCACCTGCAAGTTCATGAAATTGACTCTTGGCAGTGTATGCACAGAGTATTAGCAAATAGACAAAACATACAAACTTCTCTGTATAAAATTTCGTTTTACTTCAAGTTCACAAAATTTATGCTTACCTCATTCTTAATTATTCCCTACATCGAGATGAGAAGGAAAATCCAAAAGAGTGCAAAAGAGGCAAGTGAAAAACATCTGTTTTAACTTTTGGTGAGGCAGTGGCCCAGGGTGCCCAGAGAAGCTGTGGATGCCCCATCCCTGGAGGGGTTCAAGGCCAGGCTGGATGAGGCTTTGGGCAACCTGGGCTAGTGGGAGGTGTCCCTGCCCATGGCAGGGGGTGGCACTGGATGATCTCTAAGGTCCTTTCCAACCCACACCATGCTGTGACTCTATGTTAGTGGAGGCAATTTATGTATGATGAGATTATGTAATGAATCCCTACCAAAATGAGCATCAAAAAATGAAACACTGTTCCTGAGCTGCACTTTCTCACTTTTGATTATCAGTCCCAGCTCAGAAAGCCTTTTTTACGCTAGCCAGTAAAATTTCTTGCTCTCCCACTTATTTACGTTAAAGTTATGCTAATCTTAAACTTAAATTAGATTAATTATATATTCTTCTATGAAGACAATACACATAACCCACAAAGTCACGTTATGGTCTAGCGACAGTTCTTCTTCTAGCTCCATCAGAGATCCCAATTCCCTTAATGAGACTTCCATGCATTTTGGGTAGGGAGAAACGCTTAACAAAATCCTACAGCACAAAATCCCCAACAGATTTCTTAGCTGACTTGATAAAGCTCCATAAAACTCTGTGCTTCCCTTTTCCGTTAGAAAACTTCTCTGCTTAGGCCCCAAAACTCAGTTCTGAGTTACTAACTTTATCAAGTTTTATGTAGTGTTTACCATGACCGTATTTTCAAACAGCAGACACAGAAGCAAACCAGTAGTGTTTCTCATTTTAATTGCATAAAACCAACACGAAACAATTTTATCAAGCCTGTAAGTATACAGAGGTATATTTTTTAATACTTTTTGTATATTTTTATTTACAAAAGGAGAAACAAGCCTACAGTTTCAAGCCAAATAAAAAGGACAAAGGTAAAAGTGGAGTAGAGAGAAGAATGTGTGGGCTTTTACTTTTTTAAAAGTATCTGGAAGACAGAGGACACACAGGGAGAGCTAACAGCCAGAGTGGCTGCTGATGCCCTTGAATTTGGAACAGCGTCTGAAAAACCAACTCTTCTCCTCATGTAACGTGTGGTAGAGTCCAAAGTAGAGCAGCCCTTCAAACCTCAGATATACTCTGGGGCGCTCGAGGCTTAGTAGCCATATTTTTCATTGAGATGAGTCTTGCCATCACCGCTTTGACCTAATGGACAAAGAGGAAGAGTTGCATTATTTTTTTTTTCCTCCTCATCCAAGACAAATTTGTATCCAATATGAAATAGTCTCTAAGCAGCACAAGTCAGACCAACACAAAGCGGATAAAAAGACTGGGTATTACAATTCAAATAGTCTTTTGATTGATACCTATAATTCCTCTTAATCTTACTAATAGTGTCAATATTCCATCATATATTCATAGTTTTGTTTTCTTTTTTTTTTTCTTGTGTCCTCATTATGCCAGTTTAGACAGAAGATAAGTCTGATAATTAGCAGGCAGAGACAGAAAAAGGAGCTTCCTCGTATGGACACAGCTCCCTTAGCTATTCCAGATCAGATCTCTGAGTTACTGAACCAGGTATTTTGTTCCAGTGGATTCATATGCCTGGGAAGTGCAATCTTTTCATCAAAGCATGATTCACCAGATTATAGTTCACCTCAGTGAAATTTATTCTCACTTTTCTTATTCCCTTTGGAGCCTATCTATATTATAAGCCTGCAACAGCCTTATAAAAATTATAGTAATGAATCTAGCAAATATGGGGCATAACGTGCCAGGAAACATCAGGTTCTGGGTAAGTATTCCTGAATTACTTTTTTCCTCAAGAAGTTACAAGGACGTCCTGGCTACTTATTAGGTAGATTTTTGAGTTATAAGACTAAAAATGGTAAGGAAATGATGATACCTGCAGGAGGGATCCATATGCAATAGTCTGGGTCATCATCTGGATACTGTGAAGAAAAAAAAGGTTGCTGGACCTGCAAAAGGAGAAAAGATTTTTGAAGTGCTCCACTCCTCCAGCAATGTGTCACAGCCACTAAATCTCTCAGTTATTTGTCTCTGAATTAGTGAAAGGTGAGGGTTATTTGTACAAGAGTCAGGGAATACAGAGGAAAGAAAAAATATCAAACCCTCAAATAGATCCAGTTTATTCCCAGTAGTCACAGAGTCACAGAGTAATAGAAATGCTGATTAGATGGGACTTCTGGAGGTCATCCCGTCCCATCTCCCATCAAAACAGGACCACTGCCAAGGGTCTGCTTCTGGACAGTTTCATCTTCTTATCCTAATGTTGGGTAGTGTAATTTGACACAATTTCTTTATGCAGTGAAAAACTTCAGAGTAGGATTTTCAAGTGCTTTACTGATTTCAGCGTGCAATCCCACTGAAAACTTTGGCTTTAAGGTGACTTTCAAACTGGAGTATATAGAAGTTCAGTTGCTAGATGAAGGTAACAGTTTTTCAAAAGAAAATAAAAGCCATTTTTTCATGTCCCACTGGCATCACTGAAACCTTTAAAGCAAACTGAAACAGGTCGCTTGCAATTCAAATGTTGACACAACAATGTCTTTTTGTTCCTAGATTTTTAAGTTTTGCCACATCAGCATTGTCTTCCCAAAAACTTTTGTTTTGAACATCTGCAGGTAGCTATCAAAAAAATTCATACAACTATAGAGTGCAGGACTCAAGAGCTCAAAAAGTAGCCAAGTTCCTCAGCACTGATTTGCATTACTCTGTAGTATCATGACAGTCTTCAGTTATGCAGCTGAAGCAATTTTTCATTCCCTCAAAAAACTTTCCTTCCCCAAATTAACCTCTAAACCAGTTCTTTTGGAAGACTAATATTTTCCAGAACATTAGACTCCAGAGTTGAACAGTTTTTAAGTATGGCTTGTGAACAGTCACTTTAAAATTGTTTTTCCAGTTTTACATGATTCAAAGTTATTCTGCAAATATTAAATGAGGAATAAAACCCCAAAGCTGACGTCTGATTGATATTATCCATTCAAGATCTGAGCCCAAAGGCAGAGACAGCATGTGTAAAAAGGGATTTGTGATGGAAGAGAGAATAGAGCTAAGCCACTGGTATTTGGAGAATGCTTGGTGTTACAGCGAACTCTGTGCTGATGAGAAGCTGCCCTGTTCTCCCATATTCGTACGGTAAATGGTATAACTGGGGCTTTAACAGTATGAATTTACTCTTGCTTTCTTTATCAATACGCTTTGTAGACCAGCAACAGAGAATGATCTAAAGACTGTGCCTCCTTGGGTCCTTCGCCAGGACTAACAAGGTGGTCGCGCAGAGTTAAGTTTCTTTAAGTGAGTGGTGCAGGGCTAGAATTAGGTGGCCGCCACAACAAAACTGTCCCAATGGTCAGCACAGTAATCTTCAGTGGCAGTCAGCAGAAGGGTGGATGCACTCCCAAGGGAAGAGCCTCACAATAATCACTAGGCTATCTGCTTGCTGTTCCTGCCTAGCTCCAAGAAGGCAACAATTGTCTGTGTCCCAAAACATCCAAGGCTCATACACTTTACATTTTAATACGAATCTTAAGCTACAGAGTCATGGTATCATAACTGACCTTGTTTGAGCTATTGATCTTCACTTTCTCAGATGTTTCTTCGGGTTCCTTATGTACTGCCTCAAATGCTGACAAGAAAGAAGATTTGTTTTATGACACATCATGAATCATGACCAATTCTATCAGAAATAATCTTATAGAAAATCCACATTAAAATGGATACATCTAAAAGGAAATCCAAGACAGCTCACTGCAACAAAATTAGTGCTGAAGACCAATGAACATATTTTTGATTTTCATAGATTAACTTACGTCTAATACACTGGCACTGACCTACCTGAATGCAGTTTAATGTGTTCACTTTTAGGTATATGGCAGATGTTTGCTTTCTAAAAGGATACTCTCTGTCTGTAACCACTGCAGTGACTGATCTGGAAGGTAACAGTAGGAAACGTGCAGGACCAACACGCTTTTTAAAAAAAACCAAAACAAACCCAACAGTAATTTCAGAGTAACATAGGCAAGATGAAGACAGAAAGATAGAAGGTTTTTCTGTCACTTCATCTGTGAAATATTGAGACTCTTGTGAATTAAGGACAGGACAACATTCTTTAGAGTCTGAGTTATGGAAAAAATAGAAAATTTATGCAGATCTCCTCCAAACATTCAGTACACCAAACACAGTCTTCATTTTGAGGATCTGATTTTTTTTTCCATGTACATGTAGAGGGGCCATCTGAGTCACTAACAGACTATTAGCTAATGTTATCTAGTATTTGTCACTTCATAAAAGGAAAGTTCTGTCCTTCTGTAATGTTAAAAGCTACTGCAAGAAAATAAGAGGGTAAAAAAAGTGTTATGTTTATGCTCCTAAATTAAAATAACTTCTCATGCTGTTTTTTTTTAAAAACAAAGGCTCTCAAACCAGTTAATGATTATGAAAAGTAAGAAGAACTGAAATGTAGTTGCAGTGACCTATCTTCACTATACGTTTACCACTTCCCAAGCAAAACAGAGTCCTTAATTTGAATTCTAAATTCTTATTTTAAGCTCTAGGATTAGGCTTAGTTTCCTTCTGCTGACAGAAGATGACAATAGCTCCTTTAGACAGTTTCTAAACCCACATGGTACTGTACAATAGAGTCAAAATGGCATTGCTCACCTTGAGATTTCTCTTGTGAAGGTCCCATCTGAGGCTTATTCCTTAGTATCCTTGGCTCAGGCAGAAAATTAACCCCTGGGGAAAAAAATAAATAAGAAAGAGCTGAGTATTATATATACCATTTTAAAAATTATTTTTCCTCCTTACAAACTCACCTGAAGCTTTACACAGACATTTCTTCTCTTATTAAGTCACTCTCCATGCCAACAGTATGTTCTATTTGTTATCATATGGACACTCCATCGAATGAAAGCAGGGTTTATCAAAATAGCACATTTCTTGAGTACAGGACATTGCCACCAAAAGCATGAAAAAGTGACTGCCAAGCAGAGTTTCAGCTGCAACTGTCTGAAACTCATCTATTGGCATACTGACTCTGGGACTTACGGCAAAAATCTGTGGAAAATAAATCGGCTTGGAGAACCTGTGACTCAAACCTTAGGAGATTCACATAGCTCTAAAAAAATCCAGCAGTAACAGACACAGCTTCATTACCAGAAAAATCAAAACCAACATTTTACCATCCTGAAAGGATTCTAGATTCTTCTTATTGCAAGGAGAACCATCGGCAGCATCTGTTTCTTTTCCTGTTTCTTCCTCTGTTGCCATTTTCATTTCCGGGCTTGATGCTTTGCTGTTTGTTCCATCTGCTTCTTGCTCCTCCTCCATTTCTTCCTCTTCTTCCTCCTCCTCTGGTCCATCATCTTTCATTTTTAACAAGCTTTCAGGGATGTCTGGACGCTTGACAGGCAACTTCTGCAGGAGAAAGACTTGTGCATCAGTGCTAAGATAATATGGAGGTAAATGTCACAGGTATTCATCACAGGAAAAAGCACTCAGAGTGCTTTTGAGTGCAAGGAAACACTCTTAGGATGAAGGGTAGTTAAGTTTTAAGGAAAAGTTATTAGTAGAGACGGAAGATGAAAAAGTATGTTCCAGCCCATAGACAAGGAGTGCAGTCTTTTCCTAAGAGGGACACTGGAAACTGAACCAAGCTTGGATATCATCTTTGCTAAAAGACCAAGAAAAACAAAAGAAGGCAAAGGACCAGCTGCTGAGGTGTAACAGTGGTCCAGGCTGATGTCCCCAGACTGCAGCCGTGCCTCAGGGCACAAACTGGCAATTCCTGGCAGCGATCAGTGTCTGACAGCCCCTGCTTGCTGCCCTGTGTTTCCATACATAGGAGGAGGAGGAGACATGGTTGCCACCTACAGCCTCCATAGCCTGAGAAGGTGTCTGAGGAATAGCCTCTGACTCACAGTACTTACTGTTTAACTTACCCCTAGGCTGCCAGTTTTCAGCTTGAATTTGCTCCCCCCTTTCATTGCTCCAAAGAGAGGCAGGGTCATCTTTTTAGGCTTGCTCTCTGCTTCTAGACTGTTACTCCCACTCCTAATAAAAATTAGATATAAAAAAAACCAGCGTACAAAGTATCAAACAAGTCTTATATTTACAAATGCAAAAAATCTGCAAATTAGAAGTAGATATATAAAAATCCTTTTATTTCTCTCTTGCTTGGAACACCCAAGGACAAAGCTGCAGGAGATGACTCCTCTGTCCTACATACACGCTGTAGGATTCGAACACTTGCCATCCAGCAAGAAAAAAATAAAAAAGGGAAAAAAAAAGCTCGCCTCAAATTCAATTGCATGCACATACTTACATCTGTATCTAATATATATGTATATATAAAACACACTCGAAAGCCCAATCTCAACTGAAGTACCTTTATAAGTAGTTAAACCTCTAATCAAGCTGCCACTAGCCAACGATGAACCCCGCACTCGCCCACCTGCGTTGTAGCCGTGTTGCTAGCCACTACACTTGACTTCCACCCACATTTCAAAGAGCAAAAGTGGTTCTCATGTTGCACATAATAACCCTTAAAATTCCTCAGTTCCTTTTGGATCTGGGCTGGGGGAAAAAAAATTAACAAAGCTGACACCAAAGCTGACTTACTGGGGCTTCAGCTCAGGCAGTTCTGCAGGCTTGACAAGCTTTATTAACCCTTTCAGTCTCTGCTGCTCCTTCTTCAGTTCAAACGACCGCAAGTGAAGCTTCTTTCGTGCCACGCCGTCTAAGGTGCATCCTGATTTTATTTCAGTCATGAATTCATCCAGGGAATCTTGAGCTGCTGGCTGGGACTGGACTAAGCAAGACAAAGGGAAGATACATATTGTTATGGGTGGGGAGATGAAAACTCTACTCATCAAGTCCTACCTTTAGGGACTAAGGTATGCATGAACAACTATCCTCTCTGAGAGTTTCTGTCCAATGGTGAAATACCGAAGGTTGTTAGCCCTAGAAAGATGAAAGCATTTCTCCTAACAAAAGCCATACCGTAAACCTTAATCTGCTTACATAACAAAATCTCTCTCTTAAAACAGAACATTTCTTTAGGAGTAAGTGTCTCTATTTTAGGTTGTTCATTCCACTTCAGTATCTGCTGTCCCTAAAAAAGCCGCGTAAGTGTTCTTTTTGTAGCCACAGACCAAAATAAACAGATACAAAGAATCCCACTCCACTGCGTGCAGAATCCCATTTTGGCTTAATAGTTTCATGTTAGGCTGTTCATACAAAATTCACCTTGGTTTTGACTGGATTTTCTAACAAGAAGACACTGCTCTCTACTTGAAAAAGAATAATGACAGTCTTTCTACTCCACCTGATTTCAAATATTAATAATTCTATGTATATTTGACTAACCAAAATAAAAGGAGGAAAAACTAAAGCTCTAATAACTAAGAAAAATAAACACAGAATTCTAACATATGCATTTCAAAAAACCCAAACAAAAACCCCAGGAAAACTCATTTTTTGGGCTTGAACAAAGATTCTGAAGTTTTTATATTGTGTTCAAAAATAACTTGGAGGCAAACAAAGAAAAATGTTGTTGCTAGAATTTTGACATGCCTTTTGACAGGCAGTCTTCTGCCTGGTAATGTTATATGAAAGTGGCAAATATGATAGTTATTTGCTGCCTTATAAGCATTTATGTATATAAGCACAAGAATAATTATGTGACCAATGAGTTATTTTCAGTTCAGCTTGAGCTAATTAAGTAGCACCTGAAATTTTAAATGTGTACAAATAAAATAGTCTCAGTTATTGTTAAGAGAACATATTCAAGCAGTTTTACATGACTTAAATATTAAGAGAAAAGTCTGATAAGACTCATGTTTCAGATTGACTCAATTGAGAAGGATATTGCTTATCTAGAACAAAACAGTTTACAACTTCCAAATATATGAAAGTCGTAACAGTAACTGTTCAAAGACATGCAGAATTAAAAGGCCCTGCCAGGCAGGGGGGTTGGAACTACATGATCCTTGAGGTCCCTTCCAACCCGGGTCATTCTATGATTCTATGATTCTATGATTCATTCTATAAGAAAGAGTTGTAGCATCCACCTCCACGCAAATATAAATGATGACAAAACATGTCCTAAAAGAAATTCAGATAGAAATACTCTTCTTTTTCCTCTTAACTCTTTGTATGAGCTGAGACAAAAACCATTGATGAAAAGACGTTGATAAACAGTCTGAAACTCCCAGGAGGCAGAAGCTGAGCAGCATGACCATTTGATTTAAACACCTCATTTCAAAGATAGCGTTTAGTGTCTAGAATGACAACTTAGAACAATTAAAGGTACAACTCCACAACTCGCTTCTTTGGCTGCAGACCAGAGTAAGAGTGCTTCAGTCAGTGGGAGATCTTCAGCGAGTCAGATCACCCTTTGTGCAAACAGGAGTGTCTACTTGATTCCACCAGCAGTGCCTCATCTCAGGTCCTTCAGCTGCAGGGTTACTGTCAGCACTCAGTATCTGCTGCAGCAGTTTTCTACAGCACTGAAGTGAAATCTGACATTGCGAGGAGGTGAATCAACCAGGGCTCTTATACTTTATATTCCAGGGAAGAAAGCTGTAGGGCTATTTACTGCACCATCAACTTATTGATGATTTTATTCTGAACAGGCAACCAAAGAAGAGACTGAAGAACTCTACGTGCTTGATTTTCATTCAGCTGTTTCAGTGAATGAGAGATACCCAGTCAGTCCATCAGTAGTTCGTTCTGAAGAGCTCCAGAGAACAATTTGTGAACTTCTGCTCTGATCTCAGACAACCACTCAATTCCTCCAGGTGCGTGAGGCGTTGCAATTTAGCCTGTCATTCACTCACTGGTCTCTATACTCTTGCCCTTAGGCTACAAATCATCCTCACACACACACACAACGTACCTGATGATGCAATATTCACTATGGTTTATCCTGGCCTGGCTCTAGGAGATTCCCATCCGATCCTGAATTACACTGCATTGCAGTGAGTGCTGGGACTGCCCTTTTCCCAAGGCTCTAAACCAGCTCTGTAGCCAGTTCTCATTTACCAAACCACAACAACATAGATCAGAATTATCTGCTGCTAGTAAAAGTCTCTAAATGAACAGATTCTTCCTTCTCCAAGCCTCTACTACAATATGATTTAACAGCTTTGTTGAGAAACAGTATCAGCAGAAACAAAGGCATCATAGCACACAGAAGCTGGGAGGGACATGTCTCAGACCGCAGCACTAGAGAGGAAAATACCCATCTAATGCACAAAGATAGCCCAGCTCTCAGACTGTTGCGGGGCTTCCTGGAGAGAAATTCTGCTGACAAACTGCAGCCTTGATTAACGCCAACTCTGTTAAAAGCTTTTTGTATGAAGAACCAGCCTAAACACATTTCCTTCATGACTTCCTTTTATTCCACAAGACATCAGAATGCAGCAGTTTGTGTAGCAAGGTTTAAAATCGAACTCAGTACCTGATACAGTCCCCACTTTGGAAAGGCTCTGCCTTTGTACCCAAAGACATAATCCCAGAACCTGAATGGCACCCACGTAAGCCATAAGTTCACTGAACATACAGGCTATGCGTCAACTGCTTTGATGCCACATTTCTCTTTTCCCACCTTTTTAAGGTGCATCTGCAATGAGACACATGAAATAGAAGGTACTGTCTCTTCTGTCTGTTGTTTGCTCTTCCCTTTTGAATGGTTTTGGAGGGAGTAGAAAAAAACATGTTCCTCGAATTGGGTCAGTTTTACCAATATCAGCAGATAAACAGTAATAATGCTCACCCCTCTTATGCTCCAGGAGCTTGTAGACTCACCTGGTCACCTTAACTTACATATTGCAGATACCCATAAGATAAATTTTAATTTCTTTACTGTTCGTTAAGGAAAGCACTACAATCAAATAAACTTCATGCCTTACCTTTCCCTGAAGCCTTCAGCTTCTCTGTTATCTCAGAAAGCTCATTTTCAGCTTCTTTTAGCTTTCTGACCTATGAAAGAACAACACACTTAGAAGATCTTTTTATCTTCTTAAAAATCCCCTTTTAAGAGTTACTCAAACATCCTACCAGATTACCTCCATTTTTCTCCTTCTGATCTTTTTGCCCAGGAGTTTCTGGGCTGAAAAAATTATAGTCTAGATTGTTCCTACAGAACTTATCAGTCCTTTCACATACTGTTCAAATAATTTTATTTCTGAAATACGAAAGTATGTATAATGCTTCTGCATCAATGTTCCATCGTCACTGTGATCCTCCCTATCCCTGCTCTCCCACACCTCTTGTCTGTTGGCACACCCCTGTCAGTCCGGCTGCTCGTTATTTGAAGCAGAATGAGATCTTCCTCTGGGATGGGCCCTGTGCTTGCCATTATTTTCTGATAATTTAAAACTATTTTAAAAGTATCACGTTCTGGTGCTTCCTTCATCCCCTGTTTTGATCCAGTAGGTAGAAGGCAATACTACACAGGCAAGAGCAAGGTAGTGTGCTTCCACTTCAAGAAAGTAGGCAATTTTTTCAGGTATTTATAGATATTGTCCACAAAGCAAAAAAGCACTGCTCAGAGTTACAAAGTTCTCTTGCCTCCCCTAGCTTATGACAAATCAAACTCTTGTACACAGTGACAGAACTTAAGGACTGAACCCTGTTCTCCAGAGAAGGGACAACGCACGCAGCTGCAGACTACTTTTTCTACAGACTGACTTGGTCTTAAGACATGAGGCTTCCTGGTGACAGAGCACTTCATTCTCTTCGGGCAGTCATCCCTTCTGCGTACTGTGGCAGATCTGTGCCAGTCAGCAGCAGTCACAATGATGGTTTCTGTGATGTGGATACTAAGTACTAAACTGGAATAACAAACCACTCTGTTGTTTAAAAAGTCTAAGGTTTCTTCTATACCCCATTTTTTCCCCTCTCAAAACCTTAGAAAGCCTCTCATTCTACAGGCATCAAATCTTGCCTGATTTTATTCTACCTTGGCCAATTAATATCTAAAGGTCTTAAATGACACTAAGAGTTCAGGCTTAGTAACAATACATGCAGGAGAAAATAAGCCTGGCATGTCATAATAATTCTTCTTACCAGAGAGTCATAAGTCTCTGGTTTTTCTTCTATTTTACCAGCTTTTTTCATTCTGTTCAGTCGCTTCTTTTCTACAGCACCAGTTCGATCAAGGAAGGTGTCATCATCACTGTCATAAAAATCCTCGTCCTCCCAGTTCTTTGATTTCCTTTTTCGGGATACTGGGAAAGGTAAGGGAGAGGGCAAGAAACAAAACTGTTTGCATAGCACTGAGCAACAAAACAAACTCAAGATAGCAATCTCAAATATCTGGTGTAGCGCTTTGAGAATGACCACAGCATTTGACCAGTTATTCACCTGCTTCTTGCCTCAGGACTCCCCGAGCATCGAGCAGCCTGCAAGCTTCCAGGGCGCACTGTATCATCGCTTCCTTCTTCTTTCCTGAATGGAGCACCTCTGCCACCAGCTGCTTCCCTGATGCGTCATCCACAGGCAGCCTGTTCAGTTCGAAGGATCAGAGGACAGCTCCAATACAAACAGCTTTTCACAGATGCAGCTCAGCTATCATATTTATGACAGTGGCACTGCTCTTCCCATTTCACTCTACTCTTTTTTTGTGGGTTAGGTATTTTCATTTTTCATCTCCTACAGTGCTAGTCAAAACACAAGCGTGGATTTCCTAAAGCATGCGAGTAATTTTTTATTTAACTAGTCCAAACAATAATGCTTCCTGTATTCATTCCACTGGGAACACAAGAAGTTAAAAATGTTAAACATCAATCCCTGAATCATTTTAAGCACCAAGAGCTCGCATCCATGCGACACCAGTAACAGATATTTTACACCATACTGAGGCAAAGGTTCTGGAAGCAGTACAACCATTGAAAAGTTGTACCTATCCGTTTGAGATCTATCCTGCTGACTTAATCTCCACCTCACCTTCTCCTGTCTAATAAAAGAATGATGTCAGTGGCCTCTTGAAGGAACTCATCTGCCTTATACCATACACAAGAACTGAAATTGGATACAGAGTAGAACGACTTTTTTTTCTCTCTCTCATTAGGAAGTAAAAGACACAACCTCCCAGTTTCTTCCCTTGTATTTAGATTGAATGTATTTCTCAAAACGAGGGGAATTGAAAGAATTTAGAGCCTTGCTTTTCTGATTTTCATCTCTAAGGAACACCAAATGCTGCCAGACCAGAAAGGAGTGCAGACACTGAACTAGGCACTGATCCTTGAACTTCTGTCTCAGTATCAGGGCTTAGGTCTAATTCCAGCTGGCCTCCTTGCCGAGCGTGACAAGACAATTCCTGGAGCTTTCGTCTGTGAATTCAAGGAAGCCAGCTTCTATGTACAAAAGTGAACAGAGAGATACGTACTTGATTCTGCATAGCCAGCTATTGTGCCCACGATCATCGTATTCATATACCAACTCTTCTCCTACAAAGGAAAAGAAAGTTGATATCGTTACCAAAATTGAAAGAAGCAGGAATAATCTTTACAGCAGAGAATGTCATGGTTAAACAAAAGGCATCAAATGCCCTTGTTACATATCAAAGCACTGAATTTGCCTTTTTTTTAAGCCAAGGGATCTTCAACTGATATTATGCTCATTTGGTTGTTTTTCATAATCAAGGCTTTTTCAGATCAAAAATCTACAACTAGCCTGTTCAGGAATACGTAGTTCAAAGAAAAAACGATCTTTCGTCTGTGTGTATTAATGGAAATGACAATGCAAACTGTCATTACTTCAGTCTGGATTCACAGATATTGCTTATCTTGAAGATTAATTTTTCACTTCAGCAGATAAATGAGTCATCTCTGAGTTTCACTAGCAACCACCAAAAGTTTAAATTAATTCATTATTGCCTTTTGTCTTTTTATACTTTCCAATTCTATCTCACAATCACAGCAGTCTCCAAACAAAACCGTCTGGAATTTGATAGTTTGGGATTTTTCAGCATAGCTTCAAATACTGCAGGGTGGGTCAGTCCAGAAGAATACAAGGTGCTCTCTGTAAATCCCAGTTTAGAAATGAGGAACTAAGCCTCAGATCTGCAATGGTGAGCTAAGTTGTAATAAAACGAAAACCAAACACCTCCCCCAAACTTGACCAAACAAAAAACCCTACCCACAGTGTAATAGAAAAGTTTAGCTCCCAGACCTTAATTCCCAAAGGAAAACAAGAACACAAATATCACACTTCGCTAAATAGACAAAAATTAATTAAAAGAAAAAAGGAAAAGAAAAAAAAAGTACCTTCTCTGTCAAAAAAGCCCTGTAAGGCCTTCCTAGGATCTTTCACATACAAGGCATCTTGTACATCCTGAAAATCAATAGCAATAGGGTTTTCTTCAACCTCATCCTCCTCAGCATCCTCCCCTAGAAGACATACAAAGTGCAGATAAATACAGTGAAACGTCAGAACGAGAACACCAGTATATTTCAGCTTTTGTTAATTTGAAAGAAGTATCAGCTACATCATCCTAAAATTATTTCCTTTGAATATAATTTCTGCATCCAATCCAAAGCCCACCCTGCTGCTTTTTTGCTATTAGCTATTCCACTATAAGCTACAGTTTCGCAGATGAACATCACCGCATCCTGGGGACAAACCACACACCATTAACCCAAGCTCCCAGTTTGGTGGCCCTTTATAAGCATAGGCAAATTATCTTCTTCCTGATTTTAAAAGGAACTCTAGCATACCTCTCACCAGATACAAGCTCACCTTGTCACAGCACTCTTCATTTTAAAAGGAAAAGGATTAATTTGTACTCAACAGGTTCCACCGGACTGGGACACTTGGCATCCGATTGGAATTTCAAGCCTAGTATGCCCTGAAAGCTGGCTTAAGGACCTTCCAAGGTGTATCGGCTGATTTAGGCGTCATCACTCACCCATTCCCCAGGAGCAGCTCATATCAGTGTTCTGACTCCTCTCGCTGCTTCTCTCCTCTTTTTCATCTTCCTCATCAGAGTCCTCTCCCAGCATTGTCTTTTCTAATTTTGCTTGCTGCTGCTTACGCAAAGCCTTCAGCTGTGTCACCGTCAGTTCTGACTCAGACTCCTGGTCCTCTTCGGGTCCCTACGGGACAAACAGTAACTTTACAGAAGTGTTTTTTGAAAGAAAATGAAAAAAAAGAAGTCTTTTTAACACACACACAGATTATGTACAATAACAGAAACAAATCATTATGGTGCTTTTCAAAGAGTAGAATTATTAGACTGCTTGTTATGGTTTGCATCCCCAAGTATTGTTTTAATATCCTTTCTAAAGGGGGAAAGGGGGGAACGAGCATTACTGCATAGTTATAGGGACTCAAATGTAATTGTATTTTAAAGGCAGAATCCAAAATTTTTTTAGTGGTGCCACATGGGAGAATCTGAGGAATGAGCAAGTAAATCCTCTGAGGTGCATGCGGGGCACTCCGAGTGCTTTCTAAGTCCCTACTAATAAAAGCTCCCCTTGATCACAAAGAAATACGAGCACTTTACTTTCCCGGGGCATCACACTTGTGGAGAGAGTTTCCCAATACATCCCACGGATGGAGAGAAACGCCTTTTGCACCCATTGCCCGCCAGCAGAAGCTGCCTGAGGCAGAGCTGCCCTGTGCCCAGCACACCAGCACGGGGAAACCCAACACCTTGCTCTGCCCTTCACAGAATCATGGAATCATGAAGGTTGGAAAA